GCCCTGATAGCCCTATAGCCTTATAGCCTTATAGCCCTTTAGCCCTATAGTCCTATAGCCCTATAGCCCTACAACCCCATAAACCTATAGCCCAATAGCCCTATAGCCCTATGGCCCTATGGCCCTGTAGCCAAACAGCCCCATAGCCCTCTAGCCCTATAGCCTTATAGCCCAATAGCCCTAAAACCCTAAAACGATTCTGATTTGGTTTTTCTACGGTATCATTCCAGGGTTTGCCCCCCCCCCCCCCGAGAAACCTCCGAAATAATTACGCTACCGAAGAACCCCACATACTGATTTTATGTCGTGTGTGTTCGTACACCATGCCCCATGCCACATCCTGCCCTTTCCGAAACTTCAGTGCGAATGTTCTTCAGGCTCCTCCTCCACGGTGGCGTCGAGGATGGATGAATGGATGAACGCACCCCTTGTGGTGTCGAGGAAGTGCCACGCCTGCCACGCTTTGCAAGCCCGGGACGGATGGGGAGACCACCCCCAACGCACCCCCTGTGGTGTCGAGGAAGTGCCACGCCTGCCACGCTTTGCGACGGCCGAAAACGGATATGGAGACCACCCTCAGCGCACCCCCTGTGGTGTCGAGGAAGTGCCACGCCTGACACGCTTTGCGACGGCCGAAAACGGATATGGAGACCACCCCCAGCGCACCCCCTGTGGTGTCGAGGAAGTGCCACGTCTGCCACGCTTTGCGAGCCCGAAACGGATAGGGAAACCACCCCCAGCGCTTCACGTGTGGCGGCGAGGAAATGCCCCGCCTACCACGCATTGCGAGGCCGAAATGGATAGGGAGACCGCCCCCAGCGCACCCTCTGTTGTGTCGAGGAGAAGCCACGCCTGACACGCTTTGCGAGGCCAAAACGGATAGGCTGACCACCCACAACGCACCCCTGTGGTGTCGAGGAGAAGCCACGTCTGCCATGCTTTGCGAGTCCGAAACGGATAGGGAAACCACTCCCAGCGCATCCTACCACGCATTGCGAGGCCGAAACGGATAGGGAGACCACCACCAGCGCACCCCCTGTGGTGTCGAGGCGAGCCCGAAACGGATAGGGTGACCACCCCCAGCGCACCCCCTGTGGGGTTGCCACGCTTGCCACGCTTTGCGAGCCCGAAACGGATAGGAGACCACCCCCAGCGCTCCCCGTGTGGTGTCGAGGAAGTGCCACGTCTGCCACGCTTTGCGAGCCCGAAACGGATAGGGAAACCACCCCCAGCGCTTCACGTGTGGCGGCGAGGAAATGCCCCGCCTACCACGCATTGCGAGGACGAAACAGATAGAAGACCACCCCAGCGCACCCCCTGTGGTGTCGAGGAAGTGGAGGAGGGGAAGAGGAGGAGGAGGGGAGGAGGGGAGGAGAGGGAGAGGAGGAGGGGAGGAGGGAGGTGAGGTGTGAGCGTCGCGGGTGCGACGCGGGAGGGAAGAAAACCAGAACCCCACTAAGCATGTGGGGAAAAACTATAAAAAAAGAACAACACCCGAATAGGGAGTTTCCGGGTGGGTTCGGGGAACTGCCACACCCTACTGGCATTAGCTGTAAACGCGACTTCTGAGCAAGACGGTCCATGAGGATCCCACGACCGCCCAAGAGGCCCCCCGAAGGACCCCAAGAAGCCCAGAAGGTCCACAAGACGGCCCCAAGAGGGGAAGAACCAACCATTCGAGCCTTCCGCCCAAAGGTGCCGTCAGGAGGCCCCCAAGAAGCCCCCGAGAAGCCCACAAGACGCCCAAAGAGGCCCCCAAACGGCTGCCAAGCGGCCTCAAAGCTGCCTCCACGAGGCCCCCGAGAGGCCTCCCACGACGTCCAACGAACATCCTAGAGGCCTATGGCCCACAACCCAGGAACGGTGGCGGGATGGGCCGAAGGCCATTAGATTCGCCGCCCCCTGATGATTCACCACAAGATTGCACGGCGTGCCAAACTTCTCATAGGCTTATGTTGTTCCCATCCGACTTAAGGACCGCATCACAGAAATAATTTCGAGCACCCCGAAAAATGTCAAAAGAGTGTCGAAACAGAGTCGGACGAGTGTCTCCCAGGGCCCGACACGTGAAAACCCTTGAATTTCGGTACTCTCTTGGGCGCTCGAAATTCTTCCTGGTGATCAAGGCTAAAATAGGTTGGAGCATCATAATCGTAGGCTTTGTTTGTTTTTACCTGAAAGACCTCCTGGTGGGCTTCGGCCCCACCCGCCGGCCACGCAGAAAAAGTACCTCTGTCGTGGCCTTTCGCGCCCACGACGGTCCCTGGATGGCCTCAAAGACGGCCAAGATGGCCCCAGGATGTCCTCCAGACGGTCACACAGGCCCCTCAGACGCCCCGAGAGGGTCCCCCCCTCGGAAGCCAAGCTCGGCCATTGTCCTGAGGCTCTTTCGTGACCTCAGCTCGCTCGCCTCTTCGGGCCTCCGACGCACCAGGACAGGCCCGGAGGCTCCCGATGTCGGCCCTGGGTTGCCCAGTGGGCCCCCAAGGGCTCGCAGGACGCCCCCAAAGCGCCCCGAGGCCGTCCGCGAGAGGCCCCCGCGACGGGCCCTGCAGCGACCAAAAGGGGGACCCCCGACTGTCCGGGGAGGGCTCCCGGCGGCACCCGGAGGCCGAGCCCCCTCGGACCCCGCAGGTGGGCTCCCGGAGGACCTCCAGGAGGCAGCACCGTTCTTCTCTCGGGGATGGACAGAGCCTCCTTTTCGTGAAACTCGGGTCGGGCGAAAGGGGGGGATAGCAAAGGGGGGGTTTGAGAATCAGCTCACGTAGCTGATTTGCCCGGCGCCTCCCGGCGCCGGGAGGCGCCCATGTATCGAGGAATGGGCTCCTCGGTGAGGCCGAAACCAGCTGCATGCAGCAAATTTCGTAACCCCTCCTTTCCCAATCCCCCCCTTTCGCCCGACCCGAAAAACGTGGTTTAGAGAAAACGACCCGAGGCCCAAACCTGGCGGGCGCAAGCCTGGAAAATGACGGCCACGGCGCCCTCTCGAGAGCCGAAAACGGACCATTCACTAATCGACGTGTCACTGTTGGGGGTTCTGCAAAACAGGGCTAGGATCGGGATACATCGATCCAGAGCGTTCCGGAACGCTCTCAGAGCGTTCCGGAACGCTCTGGAGCGGCCGCGGCGCCCAATCCATCCTCCGAACCCGCCGATTCTCAGAGATTTCGAGTAGTTATCCCGATCCGAGTTTGTCCCGAGCTTCGCGTCGTTTGATCCTGCCCACCCCCGAGGGGTTGTGCAGCGTTTTTTCCGCGCTCCGCGCTCCGGCTTCCGACGCTCCACAGGACGGCCCAACAAGGGGCCCGAGATCGCCCCAAGACGGCCCAATGGGGGCCCCCGGGAGGCCCGACGGCCTGGAAGGGCCATGACGCGCCGAGAAAGGGGCTTGATAGTCCACCACGCCCCAAGATCGCCCCAGATCGCCCCAGGGGCCCAGATCGCCCCAGATCGCCCGAGAATGGGGCCCCAGGGGCCCGAGATCGCCCCAAGACGGCCCAATGGGGCCCCCGGGAGGCCCGACGGCCTAGAAGGGCCATGACGCGCCGAGAAATGACTACCTACCAGACCACCCCAACCCAACCCGAAGACCCGAATTTGACCCGAATTTCGGGTTGGGGGGGGGTACGGATACCATGTGTTTTTTCAACGTTCCCCGACCCCCCCCCCCACTGGAAATCGAGGATAAATTTCGGCCTTCGGGTTGGGTTGGGGTGGTTTGGTGGGTGGTGAAGAAAGGGGCTTGATGGTCCACCACGCCCAGCCGCGTGCGGATTTGCCCTCGGGGGCCTGTCGCCGATCTGTCGGCGATGCATCGCCGATTAAAGCCCGGTGTTCCCCCTCTTGGAGCCGACCCCCCTCTGACCGACGTGTTTCCTCGCAGCTGTCGCCGATCTGTCGGCGATGTATCGCCGATTCCAGCCCGATGTTCCCCCTCTTGGAGCCGACCCCCCTCTGACCGATGTCTCCTCGCAGGCGAGAAATTGGGCCTCGGGCGGCCGTTCAGGACGAGCTGGGCATCGCCGAGGCAAAGCCGCTGCAGGGCCAGCCCGAGAGGCCCCCAACGGAACGGAACGGACCGCCTGTGCGGGCATGCGCCCGGGCCCCTTAAGGGCGAGGCGGGTGAGACCATGGCCTCGCATGAGAAGGTGCGCGCGTCGGGGTCTACTCAGGACAATGCGTAATTACTTCAGAAGCTGATTTCCCGACAGTCCCCACTCGTCCGTTTTCTCATGATGTAGCCACGTCGTCTCGTTGAAATCGTAGTGCTTGTGGTGTGAGACTGTCGGAGAAACCCGTGGGTGGCCCCCAAGACGGCCCCAGAGACTCTCAAGGCGGCCCCGAAGCGTCCAACGAGGCCCACGACTGCCCATGGAGAGCCCACGACGGCAGCCGAAGGCAGAGAGGCCCCTCGGACGCCGCAGGAGGGCTCCGAGAGGACCTCGAGGAGACCAGCATCAGTTGTGTCCTCAGGCTTTGTAGTGATCTTAGCGTCCTCGCCCTTTCGGGCGTCCGACGCTCCAAGACGGGCCCATAGGCCCCCAGGATCGCCCCAAGACGGCCCCAGAGGGCCTCAAGGCAGCCCGAGATGCGAGGCCCCCAAGAGGGCCCTGAGACAACCCCAGGGGCCTCCAAGACGGCCCTAAAGCGCACCCTAAGACGGCCTCCGAAGGCCAAGAGGTCCACAGAGGACCCCAGAAGCCCCTAAGAGAGCCCCAAGAGGCCCCAGAAGAACCCACGAGTAGGCCCGCAAGAGGCCCCTTAGAGCACCCAGGAAGCCTCAAGAGCGCCTTAGGAGGCTCCTCTTCTTCCTCTTCCTTTCCCTCCCTCTCTGTCCACCTCTTTTCTTTTCCTGTCCCCAGTGTTCCCCTTAGGGGTTCCACAACGGCTGGGGGAACACATAGTCCAATAGCTTGGACAGACTTCGGCCCGACGTTTGGCTGCATGGGAGAATCTCCAAAAGCAAGGGTTCGGCGGTGAGTCGCCGTAGGCTTCTTGGCTAACCCCATTCGAACGACTCGCACGCAGGATCCTCCACATGACAGTAGTCACCGTCCGGGTCCTCCTCGAGATTGCAACACCCATGGCTGCACGTCTTGCCGCCCTCCTGCCAACTTTCCTTGCACTTGCAGTTGGACCAGGTGTACCTGGCCGCCGGCGGCGTCGGCGTCGCCTCCTGGCCCGGCGCCACCGCCGAGCCATTCGCGGCCGCCGCGGCGGCAGTTAGCGCTGGCGCCTGCGCCGTGGCCTGTAACGGGGCGGAGGCACTCGCGGCAACAGTCAGCGCTGGCGCCGGCAGTGCAGTCGGCCCTGGCGCCGAGCCATTCGCGGCCGCGGCGGCAGTTAGCGCTGGCGCCTGCGCTGTGGCCGGCAACGGGGCGGAGGCGCTCGCGGCAGCAGTCAGCGCTGGCGCCGGCAGCGCAGTCGGCCCCGGCGCCGGGCCATTCGCGGCCGCCGCGGCGGCAGTTAGCGCTGGCGCCTGCGCTGTGGCTGGCAACGGGGCGGAGGCGCTCGCGGCAACAGTTAGCGCTGGCGCCGGCAGTGCAGTCCGCCCTGGCGCCGAGCCATTCGCGGCCGCCGCGGCGGCCTGAGGCGCCGAGCCACTCGCGGTCGCCGCGGCAGCCACGGCGAGGGCCGCCGCTGCCAGCGTCCTTGCCCACACAGCGGGGGCCGCCATGCTGTCTGCCTGGCTTCCTTGAGCCAAGGACTTCTCGACGACGACCGTGGCGACGGCGACGACGACGACGACGACGATCAACGACGACGATCAACGATCGGGTGCGACGACGACGATCGGCGATAAACGACGATCGACGACGATCGACGACCGACGACGGACGACGACGATCGATCGGGTGCGACGACGACGATCGAGAATAGAAGCGACGACGACGACGGCGGCGGCGACGACGCGACGACGGCGAGACCTCCAGGGGGCGACGAGGGGGGGGGAGCTGGCGCATCGCGGCTCGTGGCATGCGCGCGGGCGGGTGGGCTGGGGGGGGGGCGGCTTGGAGGGCCGCGCTGCCGCCCCCGCCTGGGCGGCGGCACCGTGGGGCCCGAGAGGCCTGCTTTGCAGACGGTCCCGAGGCCCAGCCTGGTGAGGGGGGAGGCCCAAACGACGAACAACAAACCCCCGTCACGAACTCGTCGAGACGCCAACGGATTCTTGAATGAAGAGAGGGAGGACATGGGAGCGGACAGCAGCATCGAGACATTCCAGCCTCGTCCGCCTGCCGCAAGCTAGGAAGCTGGCACCGTCTGCTAAGCGACGGAGAAAGTAGATCGCACCGGCGGCTCTTGCGCTAGCGTGCCCAGGGGGGGCGGGCCAAAACATTCGACTCTGGATGAGAAGAGGAGGAGAGAAGGGGGAGTGACAGAACGCGTACGATACGGATTTGCCCCACAGCGTATCGCCCCTGGGTGTGACAGCAGGGCGGGTGTCAATCCCTGCGGAATGGCCCAGAGACGGCAGAGGCCGAAAACGACAACCTCCTCCCCTCTACGCCATTTCTTCTTCCTCCTCCTCCTCCTCCTCCTCCTCCTCCTCCCTCCACCCTCCACCCTCCCCTCTCCTCCCTCCTCCCTCCATCCTCCTCCTCCTCCTCCTCCTCCTCCCTCTTCCTCGTCCTCTTCCTCCTCCTCCTCATCCTCCCTCTTCCTACCTCCTCCCTCCTCCTTCTCCCTCCTCCTCCTCCCACCCCCTCCCTCCTCCTCCTGTTCCTCCTCCTCCCCCTCCCTCCCTCATTCTCTATCCTCCCTCCCTCCTCCATCTCCTCCTCATCTCCTCCTCCTCCCTCCTCCTCCTCCTCCTCCTCCTCCTCCTCCTCCTCCTCCTCCTCCTCCTCCTCCTCCTCCCCTCCTCCTCCTCCTCCTCCTCCTCCTCCTCCTCCTCCTCCTCCTCCTCCTCGCATCTCCTCCTCCTCTTCTTCCTCCTACTCCGCCTCCTCCTCCTCCTCCTCTCACATCCTCCCTTCTCCCTCCTCCTCCTCCTCCTCCTCCTCTCTCGTAGAAATCAGGTTTTTGTCTAGAACTCTAACCAAGGTTAGTATGTGGATTTCTGTACTCATATTCAGTGCTCGAGCTTTCTGTGCGCGGTTTCCATATCGAACTGTTTTGTTTGACTTGGCTCGTGAACGAGCCCCAGGCACATTGCCCCGAGGAAAGAGACACTCTTCCCATCATACACAGTTGAAGTTGATTGTTGATATCATCTTATTCTCTCGTTATCTCTCTTCGAGTTAACCTCGACGAGGCGACAAATCATTGGTAGTGCGGAGCTTGGTTGAAGTGTTATCTAGACTCAACGCTATCGAGATGGCATCATCGAGCACGGGCCAAGGCGTCGAGTTTCAGAGGATACCGACGTGGGACGGCAAAGCGGAGACCCTGGACGAGTACCAAGCGGAGGTGGAGCTGCTCACCCTGGCGACTAAGGAGGACGACAGGAAGCTGCTGGGACCTCGGCTGGTGCAGGCTCTCCCGAAGAATACCGCGCACAGGAAGCTGGCCCTGCGTCTTCCGCGGACGGAGGACACGCCTGACACGATCGTAGGAGAAAAGGGCCCAGAGAACCTCTTGAGGGCCTTTCAGAAGAGTTTGGGGAAGCAAGCATCGAGTGACGTGGTGGACAAAGTGTTCGCTTATTACTACGATCGGAAGACGTCAGGCCCGAGAGTGAGGAAGCTTGGACAGACGATTGGCCTCTATGCGGAGCAGGAGGAAGATGCTTACCAGGAGATGGAGAAGAGCGTCCGGGCCATCTGTCCGGGCATCGACGCGATCGACCTGATCCCCGACGAGCTGCGAGGGATCATCTCCCTCGTGAACGCTGGCCTTGACCCGAGCGAGCGCGCCACGGTGGTGGCGGGCCTCAACGACTCGTCCATCGAATCAGTGATCGACAAGCTGAAGAACGTATGGTCGGATAAGGATCTGGCTGCGAGGGACAACATCGTGGCGAGGCGCAGGGACATGAGGATCCAGAGCACCCGCGACAGCCGTCGCGATCGCTCGAAGATCAATTACCAGGACGACGAGGAAGAGGACGAGGCCTTCTTCGAGGGCAGCAACGAGCTCGACGAGGAGGACATCTACTACGAAGAGGAGGCCGCCACCGAAGAGCAGATTGAAGAGCTGGAGGCTTTCGCAGAGGACGCAGAGGTGTACGCGCAGGACGCCCATCGTACCTTCACGGAGGCTAAGAAGATGCTGGCGGAGGCGGCCAAGAACAGGAGTGGCTACTTCCCAGTGGTTGGGATCGGGCAGCTCCCTGAGAAGCAGCAGCAGCGCGACACGCACAAGGCAGCTGTGACGGCGAAGGCGGCGCTGCGGCCCACCAAGCCTCCAGGCCCACAGGGAGGGGAGCGCCGCGCTCCTCCCCCACCACAACCCGTGGGCCGCCGTCCGACGGGCAAGGGCAAGGGCCGCGGGATCAAGTGCTTGATCTGCCAGGGTCCGCATCGTGCAGTGGACTGCCCGAAGCGGCTCAGCACCGGAGCAGACGGCAACAACATGCAGATGGCCTCAGGGCAGGTCGGCTTCGTGGACGTCGAGACCGAAGAGACGAACTACAGCAACGAGGGCATCCCGCCAGAGGATGGCCAAGCGGGCTGGGTACACGAGGAGATGGTCGGCTACGCGATCATCGACACCGGGGCCTCCAAGAGCATGATCGGCCTGGACCTCGCCGTTGCGATTCAGGACACGATCGTGGAGGAGACGGGCATCGACCAGGTCACAATGGACTACAGCAAGACGACGAAGTTCACCTACGCGGGCGGTGAGAAGGGCCAGTCCATCGGAAAGTTCGGGTTCGAGCATCCGGTGGCGCTCGTGGAAGACGACAACAAGCTGTGGTTCGACCTCGTGGAGACCAAGTCCCCGATGCTGCTCGGCCTCGACTATCTCGAGAAGTCTGGAGCTGACCTAGTCAAGGACAGGTTGGCGCTCGTCTACCCCGACGGCCACGAGGAGCCAGTGGTGAAGCTGTCCAGCTCTCACTACGCACTGCCCGTCCTTTGAGGGTGCCCAGCCGGAGGCCGAGACAACGCCGAAGGATTGGGAAAAGATAGAAGTTGTCAATTTTGTTCTCCCATCGATCGTCGATCGCCCCGAGTCCCCTGGAAAGACCAGAGTCAGGATAACATGAAGACCACGCTCATCAATTCAAAAACCACTGCAATTCTCCAATACAAAGAAGCAAACAGCGTGCAGAAAATGAAAAGCCTCAGTATGGGGACCTCCAGGGAGCCCAAGGTGAGGACCCAGGTCATACACGCACGAGACACTGCACTTCATGAAGTACGGCTACCACACTCACGAGATAGGCCATGTCATGGAGTACGGCTACCACATGTACGAGATAGGTCATGTCCTGCAGTACGGCTACCACAGGCACGAGATAGGGCATGTCAACACGTACGGCTACAGCATGCACGAGATGGATCATGTCACAGAGTACGGCCACAGCATGCACAAGACAGGCTATGTCACGCACACGTATTTGCAGCACGCCATGAGAACACGGAGCAGCACATACCAAACATATGTCCACCGCCTCCGAAGCCATTTTCGTCAAGCAGTTGCTCCGGGAGGAGCTTTCGTGATTTCAGCAAGGAAGATATTCATGTGCAGTCCGCAGGGGCCATGGGTATCATCAGAGGTCGAGATCTCGGACGAAGAGTTCGAGTGGGACATGGTGGGACCGCCCAACGTAGAGGAGGGCTCTCCCTCCTCAGTGCCGCCCTCGCCGTCGGCTGCGCCTGCGACGGAGGCAGACCCGATCCAGTTCTACGAGGACCTGAAGGGGCAGGCGATGGAGCTGTTCGCCGTGACCGACCCGGACACGAAGGTGGAACTGAGGGATCAGGCAGCCAGACAGGCGGCCAAGGACGGCTTGCTCGCGGAGACGGCTCGTCGAGCAAGGGCAGGAACGCTACCCACGTCCTGGAAGTACCTCCTCGCCGAGGCGGAGACCGCCTGGGCCAAGGATCAGGGTCGCAGCCTGCAGGTGGACGCCGAGGTCAGGGAGTTGCCGACGGTACCGAGAACCATGCCGCGAGGGTCAGGACAGTCGGATTCGAAGCCCTCGGAGGTCCATCCAGTGGGACCTCCAGAGAGCAAGGGGGCACCCGCTCCACGTCCAGAGCCAACGACTCTTTTCCTCAAGAAGCTCCCCTCGGGCAAGAATCGGAATACCAAGACGACAGCCAGCAAGCCGGAGGAACCAGACCGTTCGTCGGAGACCATGGAGCAGGCTGGACGCAATCGGTGGCAGCGGCTCGTGCTGAGGATCCAGTCCCGCAAGCGCTGGTCCCAGCAGGCCCAGCTGCTGAAGTACGCAAAGAACGGGTGCCCCAAGAAGTTCACGGAGGCGAAGGGCTTTGGAGCTCACCTCGGCAGGTGGAGCTGGCGGGAGATAAGCTACGAGTGGTAGGTCAGCTACCTCAGCGAGTGAGACACAAAGCGCTGCAAGCGGCCGCGAAGCTCGACCACCAAGGGATCCGGAAGTTGTCTGCCATGGCCCGAGAGGGCCGAACCGACCTGCTGGAGATCTGTGTCCCACCGGACAGCTCTCTGGGCAGCCAGGTGGAGAAGATGGGAGGAGTGGTCACGAGGATGGGCCTGTTCAACCTCTTCGACTTCTCCAAGAAGTCCTCTGTGCTCAAGGCGAAAGAACTCATCAGTAGGGAGCGACCTCGCTGGGCCCA